GGAGTTTAGGGTTTAGGGTTTAGGATTGCAGCTCTTGGGTTCATTACGGTTGAGCACGTCGCAAAAACCATCTCCTCAACAGCTTGTTTCCATAGGTTTCGGATACTCTGAACTTCCTGATCCCTAAACTCGTCAGTGACTCTAAACCCTATTCCCTAATTACGAACCCTTAACACGTAATGCTAGGCTACACCCTAAAATTAGCCTGAGGAGCTCTTAACCCTAAGGCTCCTAGCACGAAGTGACCGCTTCTGGGATCGAAACACTTCCGCGAAATCGCGCCTCCCCTCGCCTCCATGGAATAGCCCATTGGGGTTGTTGGGGTCGGGGAGCTGTAGGTTTAGGCTTGTAGGAAGGGTTTATAGGGAGGGTTTAGGGTTGAAGGGGTCCTGAAAGCATCGATGCCCAAGGCTCAACTTTTGGGGGACTCGGTTTGAACAGAAAAGGAACAGCAGTGACCCCTCAGACCACAGCTGCAACACAGGGATTTGGATGGGCTGCGCTGAGCTGGGAGACGGGAACAAGTCTGATTCCATGAGGATGCCACAGGCAAGAACGGGGGTGCCTGTCTGCCCAAGCAAATCCTTGCCCGAATCCGTTGCAGTGCGTGGCTTTTGGCTTTATGGGTTTAGGGGTAATGTTCGGGATGCAAGGAAACAGACATCCAGGACTTCAGAAAGACACGGCGAACATTGGCTGTGCCACTAGAATCGCGGGCGGGCAACCCTAAACCGAAGAGAGGGGAGCCTACGGCACGCGAGGCTTGGGTGTTGTAGCACCAGAAAGTCCTGCTTAAGCCCCAACCCTCTCAGAAAACTAAGACCGACAAAAGAGCGCCGAATTCCGGCGCGGGGAACTATTTTCGGCAACGGCCGCAGCACCTGCCATCCATCGCGCCTGCTTTTAGGGCTGAAGCTTCAAAGCTGCTTCAAGCTTTCAGGGCTTGAGGGGTTTAGCGGGTTGACGGTCCCACAATGGGAATTTCCAGGACCCTTGTTATGAAGACCTCGGAATGAGGTACCCCTGATATGAACAACGAGATGGCCTCCGGCCTTCAACGTGCCTTAGGCGTAAGTGTACGCTTTGGCTGCGCAAGACATGTTTCACACATCACCAAGGTCTGTTTTGATCAGATTCTTGCAGATCTGCTTCCATCAGCCGCGCGAAGGCTATAATCACGCATGAATACTCTCTTCCATACGTAGTCAATCTCGCAGTGTCGGCCTGTAGGCCGGTATGCACCTGAAGTCTCCCCACTGGATCTGCCTCAGCTACTCAGTTCTTTTAAGGACCCTGGGCTCTACCATCAATCTTTGACAACCAGTCACCCCTTGAAGTTTAGAGTGGCTTGCAAGCTTGGCTGGAACGGACCTAAGTCCGACACAAGAAGAACTCATGAATAGTGAAGAGAAGCTGTGCTCGAAGCGCATGTGGCCGCAATGGAGCCCTCTGCATCACTACTCCGACCCCTGAACACCAACCCATTTGGCTTGCCCACTTCACGGCCTGTGGCTGGCAGTGTGGAACGAGAGGTGGCCTGCTCCACAGCGCTCAGAGCAGACCGAACCCTGCAAGCCGCACCCTTAAAGCTTAGACAAACCTCAACAGCTTTGCTGGAGAACAAGTACGGGCTTCGGTTAAGGAGGCTGCAACCATGTCCACCAACGCTACGGCCACACTGGCTAGGTTCATGACAAAGACGGGGGGAAACAGGAAGAATAATGCATCGAACAACAAACAGCAACGCCATGGCTGTATTGAAATCGCCTGCAGCTTGCGGTGATGATAGCAATCTCCACAACCAAAGAAATATCTCACATCCCCACGGTCGCTTCTGTTCCAGTGTTGGGGCGTGTGTTCGAGATGTGGGTTTCTTATGGTTTGGCGTACCTTGTTCACGGCCTCTTAGAGGCTCGTAATTCGGGTCCCCTGTTAGACTCGCAGATTGTCTTTGATTTGTTCGCTTCGTGTCTTGCGGGGGGGTTGTGGGTCTGGGCTTTACGTTGAAAGGGGTCTCAGGGTTTGTATTTTGTGGCTTGGGGTCGTTGGGCTCAGGATTCAAAATTAAGGCCTGTTGAGGGGCTTACTTTAGGGTTCCAGGCGTTGTGGGGTTTCCGGGTGTGTAGGGTTTGGGGATGTTCGTGCTTCCGTTGGTCGACTCTTTTTGGCCAGCCAGCAGCTCATGACCACCTTCTATTTGTCACTAATTGTTGAGGGTTTAGGGTGTAGGGTTTAAGGTTTAGGGTTTAGGGTTGTTAATGCCATCTCCGATCCCACTTCACTTCCTGCCCTGCCACCTGGTTGTTTCTTGCATCTCACAGAATACAATCGTGCTGGAAAGGATCACTAGTGCTTGCCGCACTGCACTTAGCCTGTGTTTTGGGATGTCGGCGAGATGCACTGATAGGCTATAAGGGTTGAGCACACAGTTCACGGGTTCCTGCCTGGGGTCTTCGGTGGGGAGGGGACAGTGCTTTAACCCTTCACACAGGCTTTCCATGCAATGCGGCTGTACCGGAACGAGGAAGGGTCCAAAGACTCCAATGCCCCTTAACTACGGCTTAAGGTCCCAAGGATTCGAACGGATTTTTGAGGGAATCTTCTGAATTAAGGGCTTTTGGAGTCCCGGGGATACGGTGAAACGGGACTGCTAGGCCAGAGCCCAGCGAGCAGCCGGACAACCCAGAAGCTGGGGCATGAGACTCTTTACAAAAGGGACCAGCCACGCCAACCCGCAGAAATAGACATGCACCATGGATGTGTACCGCTTTGAATCAACACTTTGGGGATTCTTTACTCATGCTTCGGCCTTTGAAACTCAAGCCGTTTGCGATTAGGGTCTCGTGGCATGTTGGCCAAAAAACTGAGGCCCATGGCACTTCTTGGGACATGGCTTGCTACATGGGCATGTGCGGGCCCTTGCCTTTGCACGATCATCAAAACCGCAGAGACAAGGGCCAAGGCAAAAGCCCAACTTAAACCCCAACTACCCCAGTAAACGCTGAAGCTCGAAGCCCCGAAACCTTAAACCTCTCGCCCC